CCCGCCTCTGGAGTGCGCTCAAGCAGGCGCTGGCGTCCTGCTGCGTCAAGCCCTCTACCAAGGATGACGCCGACTGCCCAGACACCCGCCCTCTACCCCAGTCCCCAGACGACCCCGGCAAACCACCGCCGGCCCCACCAGACATCAAACCCCCTGCCAGCCGACAGGCCGCCGCCACGCAGGGGCCGCCAGCGCCGCCCGCGCCGCGCCGCCGCGGCGCGTCGCGGCGGCGGGCGAGGCGCTTGCGCGTGCCGAGGCCCCTCGGCCCGGCCCCCGACGCGCGCGCCCGCCGCCACCAGTGTGCCGGCCTCCCGGCCAACAACGCCGCCGCCGCGCCGCTGTCCCCGGCCGCGCCTGCTGAGCGGCGGGCGTGGCCGATCACCCCTGCCGCCGAACACGCCGGCGCCCTCGCACCCGCCCGCCTATCCGCCTTGAACGCCCTCGCCTCTCTTACGGCCGGTGCCGCCCAGCCGGCGGCGGCGCTCTCCGCCCTTCTGGCAGCAGTCGCCGCCGCAGCGGCAAGCGGCAGGGCCTGGCGCTGCGCCCTCCGCTTTGGAGGCTTTGAGGCCGGTGTGATGGTCGAGCCCTGCCCCTGCAGCCGCCGCGGCGGCCGCCGCCGGGCCCGGCCGGCTGGCGCCGCCTTGCTGACGGTGGCGCTGCGGGCCGCCGGCAGCGGGGCGGCGCCCTGGGTCCTGCGGGCAGAGCTTCTTGGCCGCGCTCCCGCCACACTGAGTGGGGCCGGCCACGGCATTCCTAACAACAGGATCCTCAGCAGCAGCACCACCACCACCGCCAGCTGGACCGCTACCATCATCGCCCGCATCTGCAGCCGCCGCCGCCTGCAGCCGGCGCGCCCACAGCTGCGCCTGACCGCGCCGCCGCTGAGCCCCTGGCTGTGGGCCACGCCACCGCTTGGCCGCCAGGCGCTGGCCAAGACCATCAGGCTGCCCTCCTGCCTTTGGGGCGAGGACAGCCCCCTTCTGCCACAGCTGCTGTCGTCGGCGCCGCCGCCGCCGCCGCCGCCGCTGCCGCCGCTGATGTGGGCGGCGCGAGCGCCGCTGCTGCTGCTGCCGCCGCCGCCGCAGCAGCAGCGGCCAGACGCGTTGGGGTTGCTGCGCTCAGCGCTTGCGCTGCGCCTGCTGGGAATCCTCAGCCAGCAGCAGCGCATGTCCGCGGCGCAACCAGCGCCCGCGCGGGCCCGGCCCCGGGCCTCCGCCGTCCTGCATCGCCCACGGCCGCTCGGGCTCTGCGGCGCGGCGTGCGCGCCAGAGCCGGCGGCAGCAGCAGAGCCTGCGGCTCTCGCCGTGCAGGAGGACGACACCGCGGCGGAGACAACCACTGCGCTTGATGACATCAGCAGCAGCGACATCCAGCGCAGGGACGTGTTTGCAGACTCCGCATTGTGCCACTGCGAGCAGGCCGGCGCGTGCCACCTCCCCACCAGCGGCGCCGCCGAGAGCGTGGCGGCCGCCGATGGGGCGGCGGATGAGGTGTTTGTGTTCCAGAAGTGGGGCGACAGCCTCGATTGGGCGCTGGACCCCTCCAGCGATGATGATGATGATGATGATGATGAGGTGGCGTATGATGGGCAGGAGCGCCGCGACGACGTGAGGGCGGCAGGGCAGCAGCAGCGGCAGCGACAGCTCTTGCTGCAGCAGCAGCCGGCCGCCGCCCGCTCGGCCGCCGCCGCGGCGGAGGAGCAAGCGCGGCTGCAGCGCCAGGAGGAGGAGCAGTGGCGGGAGAGCGAGTACGGGCGGCTGTGCCTGCGCCACGAGGGGCGGGGCCCGGGGCAGTCGCCGCGCGAGGCGCCGTTCAAGGACTGGGCGCGCCCGGGGCCGTCGCGCCTGAGCTTCGGGCGGCGCGCCTGGAGCAGCAGCGACGGCGGCAGCGACAGCGGCAGCAGCGGCGGCAGCGACGCCAGGCAGGGCGACGGCACCTGCAGCGGCAGCGGCGGCGGCGACGAGCGCGACAGGGCCGGCAGCCGCGGCAGCAGCAGCTGCGGCGACAGCGATGATGGTGAGGCGCAGGGCCCTGCGCTGGTGTTTGACGAAGAGTCAGAGGCGCCAGGCAAAGGCGCCGCCCCGCGGTCGTGCAATCAGAGCACGCAGGACCAAGAAGGCGGCTCTGACTCAGAGTGCAGCTCGCCAATGGCCGCCGTGCAGCAGCCAGTGGGGTGTGAGCTCCCCTCGCTCCTGAACTGCAGCTCCCAGGCCGGCAAACAGATCCTGTCAAGCATCGGCGGTACGGCGGGCGCGGCCATACCT